CATAAACCAGTGCATCCACATCTCCATAAACCAGCAAGACTCAGTCTTGTTCTTTGTCTCTGTGCATCCACTCCTGTGATACACAAACTGGGAAACCCAACAGAAGCAGTAAGAAACAAACATGAAACAAAAGGGAAGAAAAAAAATCATAATACAAAGATAAAAATACAACTCAAGCGTAATAATGAAAAGACCACTATCCATATTTAAAAGGTCAGGGAAGAAATTTCTTTCCTGGAACAGGTGAGAATTAACTTCAGCCTAGCGAAACTTCAGGTTGGTTCCAGAGGAAATCCAACTGACCACGTATCATATTATACCATGGTTTGTTCCACCACAATCGAGTTTACAATAATCTCTGTCTGATAGTAAAGCTGTTCAGGGCCCTTGCCTGTGGCTAGAAGGAATCTGCCAGAGCCTTAATCCAACTAGATAATCTGCAGGTGGATTTTGGGCTTCCATTGCCCTCCATAGCCTTCTACAAATTGGGTGCTCACAATGTAAGCTCTGATACTTTTCCCTTTATCCTATGTGCACTTTGTTATTGTCATATTTGGATCAAACGGACTGGTGTGCTTCTTCCATGTGGACTTAGTTGACACCTCAATTAGATGGCTGCTTATTTAATTAAATACAAGCCTATAAGACCCCAGATACTCTTCCAGTTGATAGCCGGACACCATCTGCTTTCTTCACCACGCTTTGCTGTAGCACACTTATCTTCAGTGGTTGTTTCATGCAGGCAAGTATGGAGCAGGCCCATTTTAAAAGAACTAAGTAACTGTTCTTGGATTGGGGCTAGAAGTAAGTGGGAGCCCAGAATCCATCTGCTTGTCCATGGGTTTGAACGACTCTGGTTCCCTTTGGCACTGGTTTAATCTGGTTTACACAAACCCACAAGAACAACACAAAAACAAACCAAACAAACAAAGGGCAGAAAAACAAAAGAGAAAAATCACCCCCCTTGGGTATAAGGCAATTTGCACCGATGACATCAATAATTTCCCAATGACATAGAATTAAATATACTTTTGCGATGAGGAATTTCTGTGCAGCACATCTTTTGATCTCTTGCTTGCTGCTTCCATGAGCATCGGTTGTGGATCCAAGCGAGACTGAATCCTTGATAACGTTGCTCTTGTCCAAAGCACATGAGACTCAGTCTTGCTGCCTCACGTCTAAGGAGGACTCTGGCTGCCCTTATGCCGAGACCCACAGGTTTAAAAGTCATGCCGTTCTCACCCTGTGCTTTTCTTTTCAATACGCTGTATGCGACAAGGCTCCCAGCCTGCTTTCTGTGCTCAATATTTGGCCTCAGTCTCTCCCTGTGTAACATGAGAGACTAGACAAGCGGATCTCTTTGGTCCTTCCTACTTTGAACCCCAAACCAGGGACTGCCTGCCAGGAAAAACACAAGCTGACTCAGGAACACCAGCAAAGCCAGACAGCTTGGTATCTTCCTTCTAGAAGATGGAAAAGCAAAGTCACCGCATCGAGTGGATGCTGACTCACAGCGACCCTGCAGGACAGGGTAGAACTGCCCCCGCGAGTTTCCCCGACGGTCACTCTTTATGAGAGTAGAAGGGCCGTCTGCTAGAATGAAGCGTTTCTTTAAGGTCTGAATCTGGACTGAACGAAACAAAATCCAAATCGTTTGTGAAAAGCACCTTTCTCTTCATTTTGAACCTGTGCTCATTCTAATAGCACAACACTGTGAGTTTTTAATTAGGGCGGAGAGATCATTCTAAGTCGGTTTCTGACAACGTTTTTGTGGGTTTTGCAGCGACACCTTCCCTGTGTACGTTCATCGGCGAGGCAGCGTTACGGGGTCTCTCGGATGATCGCTCCGAACGTTTTGCAAAGTCGTGTGTTAACCTTGTAACCAACGTAACTTGAGTCTCTCGTCACTCGTTGGCTGATTTAGCCATCCTGGAGCTCGGTTGAGAATGGTCCTGTTTTTGGTGCTGTATTGCCAACACATCTGAGTGAGCCACACAAAGGAGGATCAACTTAGCCCTGACATAAAGAGGCAAGTTTTGGAAGTAAAAACCTAAACTGTCTGAGCAATTCAATTTGGTTCTCTTCCCTCAGGGAGCTAGCAGAATGAGAGGCCGCCTGGGAAGCATGGACAGCATCGAACGGTCCAGCAGTCTTGCTTCAGAGAAGGTAACCCAGCAGAACTCGCTTTTGAATACAAATGGGAAGTTCAGCAAAACCCAGCACTGACTGCTGTCAGAGGCAGGCTCTTTAACCTCGTTCTGAGTTCTCTCTGACGTCAAAAAGGTAAATGTTGGAGGTATTGTTAGGGAAGTACCTACCCTGGAAGATTCTGGATATTAGCATCTTGGTCAGTATGTTAAACCTGCAGCTCTCCCAATGGCTTAGAAGGAGCCCCTGATGGGTGGCTATACTCTGATCAGGTGCTCAGCGGTTGCCAGCACTCACACTGTGAACACCAGTATTGGAGGAGCCCAAGCCATCTCAGGAGTGATGCTAAGTGGTGCCTCTCCTGGGCTGTTTTTCTTTGGTTAGTTCCCTATATTGCCACCTCCTCCCCCCTTTTTAACCTTTTTCAAATGATAAGAGGAGGCTCTTGTTATCTCCTAGACAATACTCAGGAGGTCTGGTTTTTTTGGTCTTCGTTCTGACAGAAAACAGCCAGCCGGAGGCCACCCACTTTTTAAATTTTTAATGGGAAAACCATGAAAATATCTCCGTGAACTTTTCTGTTGAGGGACTTGAGGCAGGCATTCAGCTTTGATTCTGAGCCTTGTCTGTCCAGTCCACAGTTCGAACATGCCGTCCATTCTGGCAAGTATCAGGATCACACCTGTCGATATGGAAAGAGTTACTCGGGCTCCTCATGCCGTATCAGCTGCATTCCAGCCGAATGCATTTTTCATTCGTTTCCTGTTTTTCATGTCTTTTTAATTAAAAAAAAAAAGATAAATGACCTCAGGCCACATGTCGCTGGATCGGAACATCCAAAGTGAAGGAAGATACTTAACAGGCGTTATTTGATTTTCCTGATGGCTTTACCAGGAGACCCGAACACTCAGGGAGGGCCACATTGTTTTGATGGTACAGGAAGTATGCCATTGCTCTGTCACGGAAATCAGTAGCTGCATAAACGCAGACTCCACCTCCCTTTGGTCAGGATTTCTTCCCTTCTGACACCAGTGGAGAGGTACAGTAGCTGTAGCTTTTCACACACAGTGTCCAGGGGAAAGAATACCTTTTCTTAGGACCTCTTCTCTCTGTCCGGCCTATCTTTACTCATGCAGTCTTCTAGCTGCTTATCAGAAGAAGTGGGCTCTGGTCATACTGATTAGCCTTCAGCATGGATTGAGTCAGAGAGAGAGAGAGAGAGAGAGAGTCATGACTCAGGAGGAAGAAGAGGCCCCTGCCCCATCTGAGCCGGGAGCTTCAGCAGGTCTGCTAGGACCCTTTTGGGAAAGGAAGACTTCAAGTTCGCTTGCTTTTTCAGGACTACTCCCCGGGCGACTCCCCACCAGGAACACCACCAGCCTCCCCACTGTCCTCAGCTTGGAGCACGTTCCCTGAAGAGGATTCGGACTCCCCATATTTCCGCAGACGGGCACACACGTTCAGCCACCCCCCCTCCAGCTCCAAGAGAAAGCTGACTCTGCAGGAGGGGAGGGCACCTGGCGTGCGCTCCCCGCTCCTGAGGCAGAGCTCCAGCGAGCAGTGCAGGTGAGTGAACCCGTCATCTGTTGTGATTTTGACTTGATGCCCTAGCCAACATCCGGTCCTGTGAAAGGCAGTAAACAAAAGTAAATTAGAACCATATCAGCTATTAGAAAACGTGGCCAGATCTAAGTCACACCCAAAGAGAAGGGGTTAAAGTGTTTTGCGGCATTTTCCCTGCACACCACCCCCCCTGCTTTTTTTCATAAAAAAATGAGATGCCATGCAATTGTTTTGTCTGGAAACGTGCTGACAAAACTAGTCTTCTTGGTGACTGTAAAGGAACAAAGTCAGCGAATTGTACAGTGGAACTTCCTGTTAGCTTCCACGGTGAGCTTACAGAATCTCAGGGTGGAAAAACCACCTAAATTAACTGCGTACAGGGAAGGCTGTTTGGCTATATTTTATTATACTCGCATGGTCAGTTAACACAAACTATGAAACTCATTTTGAAAACTTCTCTAGAATAAAGTGATACCAAGGAAGGGAAAATATGCCCGCAATGATTACTGGCAGGACACCTCCATTAGAAAGAAAGCTTTCCTGGCCCTGTCCGATAATCTCGTAGACTGTTGACCAGCAACGTCGGCAGTTCAATCGCACGAGCAGAGAGCTCTGCTCCTGTGAAGTTTTACAGCCTTGGAAACCCCGTCCTGGGTCGCCGTGAGTCAGAACAGACACAATGGCAATGGATTTGGGTCCGTTAGAAATGAACTTACATGTTTCATACAACAAAATGTAACAGAATAATTTGAGATTTAATGATAAAAAGGGTGAGCCTGCACTTGGGGCATTTTACTGTATGGCACAAATTAGAGCGTACAATTCAAGACTTCATTTTGTTTGGTTTTCGTCGGCGAGGCAGCGTTACGGGGTCTCTCGGA